CATATATATATGATATATATCTGTACAATGGTTCTTCAGTACATGTTCTTGTTTTACAGTCCACAGATCCTTTGCAAACCGGATGTGTGGACTCGAGCCCTCCGTAGTTCAGCAGTGGCTCCTGTCACACTTCCCCATTCCTCTTCCCTGATGGGTCACTCTTCTTTCTCCTTCTCTGGTTCTCTCCACCTGGAGAAGTTTACTCCTGTTTCGGACTTTTCAAGCCGGAAGCAAAGTCAGAACAAACTGCCTGCTGAATATCATATTTCTGAATGAATCTGTAAACACTAAACTTTGGCTGGATGTGATAGTTATGATGATGACTGACGCATTGACTACACCTGGCTCCTGTAGATGGATTTCGAGGTCATTTAAACGCTGATTACAGGTTGAACTGACCGTGTCAACAAAAGACCAAATCTCTCTGTTCATTTCAAGGCTGTGGCGGGGAACGTTGGGGAGAAGCCCCCCCACCCCCATGTCACGCTGCGATCCGACCCTGTGCAGTGCGCCCATGGTGGAAATAAAGGCGTGAACCGTGAAGAGGTCACTGGTGATAACCGGCCATTAGTAAGGAAACAGACCTCACTGGGAGTCACATCGGCCTTTTGCATGATGTTCTTAAGTACCATCTTCTGAAAGAGTATCCAGGATCATTTGTACACCAACGTAATGGGGGTACAATCGGTTCAACGCATAGGACAGAAATAATCAAAGACTAGTGAGCAGAATAATGATTTCAAAATGTCTTATAAAAGCTGGTGTGAATGTAGTGGACTAATAATGACAATGTCAGCAATGAGTAACTCATGATAAAGGCAGTAGCAGTACAACAGCAGGAATGACCCCCATCAGATAGAACCACCATGGACAACAGGTGTTCATCACAAACCACATACATCTAACCGCGTCTTCTCCACATTTGGATACTGAGATTTCAGTACCAACTTCTACATGTTGGACAGTGTAGAATGTAACGGTGAAAAGGTGGAGATGGATAGAAGACAGTAAGGAGAGCAGAAAGCAAAGTCCAAACATGTCCCTTTAAGGAAGCGCACTTTGCTTTTAGGTCCAGAGCCACTTGGCACTGCCCTGCACCTCCATCTCACCCTGACTGACAGCTCAGCTCAGGCTGGCTAAATGGTTGTGACGGGGAGGGGGAGGAGTGGGGAGGCGTAGTCATTCTCCCCTCGGGGATTAGTGCAAGCTTCTTGGGCCATTTGCATGTGAATGGATCCTGGAGCTGCTTTTAGCCACCAACAGCCTCCCCCCGTCTCTCTGGCTCTTCTTGGCCCTCTCTCTTTCTCCACACTTCTGCCATCGGGGGGGGGGACCAGAGGGAGGGAAGGAGATACTGGCACAGAGTGCAGGACCAGCACGGCGGTGGTGGACACAAGTTTGCAGACAGAGGAGTTGAGAAAGCATCCCGTCACTGACAACCAGGGAATCTTACAAGTGGCTTTTGTGAATGAGAAGGTAGGATGTTTTCCTCATGTCTTTGTGTCCCGTCCCCCCGTCCATGTGTCCCGGGCTAACAATGAGAGCTGATAGGACTGGTCCACTATGGCGGTCAGGATGGGGGTAGGAGGGAGGTTAGGCCTCGGCTGTTCAGTCAGACACGTACCATGTACCACTCCATGCGGCACAGGACCATAAAAGACCAGTGGTGTGCATTGATATTGAAACGTATACATTTTGATCTTTCTTTCAGCCACAGCTGCTGTTATTTTCAGACACTTTGGTGAGGTTTTCATTTATTGTGTACTAGAGACTTTAACCAGATCCATTTTCTGTGCATCATCTGCAGAATGATCCAGCTGATTGTTGCAAACATAGATAATAATGACCTGGTGCAGCCAGTTCATGTGTCCCGACCGCAGCATTCGTGATAACATCTAAAGGACAATTCAGAATCTGAATCTGATTGCCGAGTAGGGTTTCACATCATGGCGAGTCGATTGACATCGTACTTATTTCCATTGTGATGCATCTGCATCAAAGAGCAGTGATCAGATCCTTCTGGTTAGAGCACACATTTAGGAAGAGAAACCAAGGTGACGATTAAATGTCCGTCACTGTCCACAAACTAACAGCTGCAGCACAATTTCCCTCTACAATGAGGGATTATTGGCAACATTCCTTTTGACCTCCAGATGCAGTGAATCACATTTCATATTGTCGTTAAAGTCAATACCAATGAAAGACCAAACTACTCACAGAGGAACTACGTTGATACGAACTTTTGTTTTGAAGATGTATACTGTAGTCTACACCACAGACTAGAAATGTGAGAAAGGAATCACCAGCCCCACTGCAGAATACAGCGCTCAACGCTCTCCAACCAAGTGTGTGTTTGACTTTACAGAGGTAGATTTTAGAAGGAAGGTCTGTAGTATCAAGCCCGACCCATTTCTACCAGCACCTGCATGGCCAGTGAATAGTCACGTGATCTTCACGCCTATGAGTGATGACGGAGATGAATTCAGAAACAATGCTGAATTCAATCCAGAGAGACTTGTTGACATTTGAGCAATGCTTTATAATAAAGAGACATGAATATTTATAGTGAAGGTTGTTTGGGGCTTGGACTCCATCCTGCCGTAGGATGGACCAGTGGCCGGGATGCTGAGCCCGGATGAGGCATATCCCCCCCTGGGAGTCCAGACACTGGTGGTTGTAGAGAATAATTCTGGTATACCGGGTTCTGCTGTAGATTGGAGGTGTCGGGTGGTGTCGGGTGGCCTTGGTTCGTGCTGAAATGATAACTCACAGCAAAAGAGAGGAGAACAGTTTGCCCGCACTAATGCAATTGGTTTACGGTGACGGCACCCACGTGTGATTGGCTGGTACTACCCGCCCCCGCCTCCCGGTCGCTGTCCGTGCACCCACAGGTGGAGACCACCAGGGAACGGCACCGCCTGTCCTGTCTTCCTGACTGAATTTTTGCCTGAGCTTCATTTCAAATCTGTTCTCAAGAGAGAGACGTATCAGTGTGGATGCGTCCATGGACACGGAGACATGAAGACAGGTCCCATTTGACATCCGCAGATTTCAACTTGGCTTCAAAAGCCAAAAGTCCCCCGGAACCAAAGCCCATCGACGTCCTGCTGTAGTCGCTGACGTCCTGCCGTTGAATCCTGTGAAGGGAGCTTATCTGTCTCTCGTACTCATACTAGATGTCACTATATTCAGTGCTGTCAGCGCGGAGACAATGCTAGCATACGCTAGCACTGATTGAAATGTCCATCCATTGAAGTGCTGTGCTCATCACCTTGTGTCCAGTCCCAGGGGAGTGGACAGTGGAAGACAGCCTGGAGGCCAGTGGACGTGTGACGCTGGCTAGTCCTCCTACTTAGTCACCTTTTCAGAACCGTGTCCGGGATGAACAGAATCACTGCACTGAGGCGTAGTGTTTCCATCGCTGCGTCTTAACCTTTCCCACGGGGACACAAGACAGGTGTCAGTGGCTTTTTGTCCGTCGTCTGCTTAACATCGCAACAATCCTTACTGATGTTGGACACTGCAGCTGTATTTTAAGGTTTGGAACAACAGCCCTGGATTAGAAAAGCCCGTCCTTCTGTCTGGCTCTCTTTGCTGCAGTTTGATGCGTCTCTACCTCTCAGACCTTTTCTCTGTCGGTCTCCACGTCTTCAGAGTTACATGTTGAACCACTCGTTGATTAATTGACACACTGTGTCACATTCTTCACATTTTGAATCTCTTGTGTTGCCATTGGTTGTGATTGTAACTATATTAGTGACCTATAGCTGAGTGCTTATTTGTGTAAACAGAGTTCCTGAAACTACTGTGTTTCTTCTCAGTATGCATTTAGCGTATTTACAGAATGCGGGGTAACCAACACTTCATCCCACTTTATTTGAATTGTTTTGTTTGTTTGTTTTTGTACCAAAAGGGTCCAACTGGTAGCATAAATACATGCAGAATAAACTGCAGCGAGCTGTAACCGATGACGCATGCAGTATGCAAATATCATGTCTGCCTCTTCCTCATGGGGATTACTACTGTTCCAATGCGGGTACAGTTGGATATTTATAGCTGATTAAATTATGTGGACTAACGCTAACCTGTGTGTGTGTGTGTGTGTGTGTGTGTGTGTGCTCTGTTGTGATTTCCTTTGAGGGTATTTGTTCATTAAAGCACACGGACACACAGTCCATCCTGTTACAGCGCGTACACACAAGAAATGAAATGATTCACTTCAGCTACATGCAGATCAGTAAAGTCCTACAAAGGGTGTGTGTGTGTGTGTGTGTGTGTGTGTGTGTGATAGTCGTACTTTGGGGACCCTTTGGTTCTACTATTCTATGTCCACCACAGCAGAAAAGAGGCCGTGTGGTTGGCTGCACGGGGCACTGAGGCGGGAGCTCCAGCTTTCAACCAAACAAACACGGTTTGTAGTAATATTACAGCACAAAGCAACTGGATCTTTGACTGTGTGAGCAGGAGATGGAGAGTGTGTGAGTCCACGGCCGGTGTTCATTGCATACAGACGGTTGATTTCTGGTTCTCACTCAGTTAGAGCATGGTTGTTCTTTCTGCACAGAGGGATAGTTTCTACCAAGTGGGCCATGGAAACAGAGCAGGTTGTCCTTGAATCGGAGGCTTTGCTGGTCAGTGGTGATGTGTGCATGGGCAGGGTTAGGGTTAGGGTTAGGGTTGCTGCTGGGCCTGTGCTGTTTGAATGGGTGTCCATGCCTGAATAGTCCTAGTGGGCCTGGGCACTGTAAACGGTGGCTCCTGTCATCAGTGTACCAGTAGATAAATGGTTGTAAATGGTTGTGAATTGATCTAGTTTTAAAGTACCAACATTCCTATGCGAGTACAGTCCATTTAGCATTTTCCATTCCAGATTAAAGACATCGGGGGCAATGGCCATAGTAGTTACATAGTTTATCCATCAGACAGATACTGATTACCGCTGCACATGCAAACAATCCTAATCCGTTTTAACTGTGTCTGAACTCTTTCTTTACCCACAGAGACTGCTGCACAGCTGGATACGCACCTGCACAGCCCAATGGAGGAGAGACAGGAGAAGGAGACGGGCATCATGGGACAAGAGCAAGAAGATCAGATCAAGTGCCAAGAACAACCGGCCAGTGTGAAGACGCAGAATTCTAATACGGCGAAAGAGGAGAAGGGAATGGAGCAGGAGGAAATGAGGAAAGAAATAGGGTTGGAGATGGACCTGGAGGCCCAGGAGAAGGTGGAGCTGTGCCGGTCTGTGCCAGCAGACCTGCAGATGAGCTACATCCAAGGCACTGACCTGTTTGGCTACGTGGGTATTGAGGCGGTGCTGGACCAGATGAGGCGCAAGACCATTAAAGCCGGCCTGGAGTTTAACATCATGGTGGTTGGTGAGTGTGACGCACAGCGCCGGCATGGGGTCAGAACCCACCGTCATGCTGCTGATAAAAGGTGCACACTGGCTATAGTGTGAAAGCCAGCGCGTCAAACACCTGAAAAAAACGTCATTATGTGACAATTCTCAGCCGAATATTGTGTAGCAATAAAAATGATACCCTTCATTTTGAGAGAGTTTCCTCATTATCACAAAAATGTTTAACTTGGGCTGTGATTTAATCCCATACATATTAAAGTAGCCTGTTAGTGGCATTAGCATCTGTATGTAGTCATCAAGTGACTGGCAATCAAACAAAGAAATTGAATAACATCTGAACAATAGTTATCGCCACTTTTCAAATTTAACCGGATGATTTATTAATAATAAATGCTCCATTAATACATAAATCTTCTCATTGTATTTATTGTGATGAAGATCTGTTCTTCTCTTTTTGGGAAACGCCTAATAAAATGACTCCCATAGTGTTACACATGCTTTGTGTATCTCACTCAAGCGGGATGCTCACTGGAATACACATTTCTAAATGATTTACGGCGCGTGTTGTTGGTAGATATGCTTCCTGCGCCGCCGATTCAGTACCTTAAAACCTAGCAAAGCAATTATCTATTGGTTATATTCAGCAAGTGTTGATCTAGCAAAGCACAGCTGGATGGACAGAATCTCATTAGACTATGTCCTTTGGTCCTCTGTCCACTGGTTAGAAGGGAATTACTCTCATGGCAGCTGGACTGTCTGTCCCTGCCTGCGGATTGTCTCATTGGACCTCAAACTCAATACACAGCGACTTAAGACTGCATACAAGAGTGTGTGTGACGGTGTTGGTAATGTAGTGTTGGAAGAGGAAGTGTAATTCTGTGAGGAGGAAGTAGTGTTGGGGGTTGGACCTGTCTGCTCTTTCCTGACACACACACACACACACACACACACAGTTTCATACACACTTCTCCTGCTGTTTGATCGAAAACAGGAAGTTTAAAACATGCGGACTGGACACACTGACACAGAATTCCCAGTACACCTGCATGTGACTGACATTTGGTCCACTGCTGACGCTGCTTCTAACAGCATGTCATGGTCGGCACTGATTGAGAGTTGTGTTTCTTACCTTCTCGGCCAACATTGACTGTATAGTTTGTAGAGCTCATAATGTCTTCTTCTGACAAAGAAAACCTGTCACCATTTTTGACTTTCAATAAGCATACCTGGACATCAGGCAATATCCAGTACCAGTGTGTTCAAAACAAAGATACATCTATTATTACTTTGAATATTATTGTTGTCTTCCAACAGTTTATCCTGTGAACGTCAGCCATATTAGTGTCTGCCCATATATACATGCTGCCATTTTATTGCTAGTATCTTCCAATGTTGAATAATGGCTACGTTACACCCTCCGCTAACACCATCGGCACATTCATTAGTGACTGCAGCATCTGAAACAGTGAGTCATCTCAATAATTGGGCAGAGTGCACAGACATCCTGTGATACGTGCTGGTGCTGCTCAATGATATGATGATCAGATTATTGTGTAGACTTGTGTATCGCTGATGTCCAATCCCACAATCCAGACCACAAGAGAGGAATTCCCCACACTGGTATATGCATAGAAACACGTGTAAATACACTCGTATGCACACGTATGGTGCGAGCGGCTTACAGCTGGTTTCATGTGTCCACAGGTCAGAGCGGTTTGGGTAAATCCACGCTGGTCAACACTCTGTTCAAGTCCAAAGTCAGCCGGAAGTCCTGCACGCCCAACTACGAAGAAAAAATCTCCAAAACAGTCAAGCTGCACTCAGTCAGCCATGGTGAGTCCACGACCCCCCCGTTACACTACGAGGCTGAAACAGAACAAACCCTGACATGGATGTTGACTGACAGGTCATGGCTCTTCATGTGTGTGGGTTTCTGTACTCTTGTCTTCCTCTTCCTTCTAAAACGGATCATATCTATTGAGTCCAGTGTGAAGAGTCCTACTATGAATCCTACTTTCATATCACTTTTCCTTTCACTTCCTGTCTCATGACCAGGACCCCAGCTTGGGCTGTAACAGCTGGTTGTGTAAGCTACTTCCTGTGTGTTTCCAGTCTGCTCTTCTTCTCTCTCTTCCAGCAATGCTTCCTTCTTGAAGTTGCGCCGCCCTGCGTCAATTAGGTGTCCTTAGCATTACAGCCGGCTGAAGCCTTCTGGCACATGCAGTGTAGGCAACGGCGGCCATTTTGTGATATGGCTGCCAATGCTGTGCAGGGATGAAGCAGCCCTGCTGCTACCTGGCACCTTGTGATTCTCCCCGGGCCTGGCGTCCCCGGACCAGCAGGCATCCCGGCGGGACGGGCATCTGCGTTCCCGTCCCAACCTGTGAATGGTGAATGACAAATGAAAAGGCTGTAGGCTTAAGCAGCTCCTAGTTAACCTGCTGTTGGTTTCTTGGTTTTTAGCCGAGCACTGATCTGTCCCCAGGGTGAACCTTCTTCCCAGCACGTAGTATTTGAGCGTTTCCATGGCCCATTTTATTTCTCCACAGTGGCATAGTTCTTCTCTCTCGGCAGCAGATTCCAACTGAAATAAAGAACGTGGTGTTCCTCATCTTGATTACTCTGGGCTAGTGCGGCACCTTGGAGGCATCTGCCTGCACCACAAACTCCCTGCGGCTCGGGTTGCAGTGTTTTGAACACAAGTCTCTCTTCAGGCTGCCAAACGCTTCTTTGGTAAAACATTCCTTTAATATCAGAATTACCATTTCTGATCTGTAAAATAAGACATTTAACAACATGTCCCACAAGGTTTCAAATGTTTACTGTGAGAGATTATTTCATAGTGTTCATGCAATAGTACGAATATTAACACAATGATGTTTAAGTATGACGCCTGTCTATATAATGATTCAATTATCATTTATTGCATTTATCTGCAACTCAGGGATTATCAACAAAATGTGCCCCACGAGGTTTTTTTTTGATTAATGCCTCTTAATATTACATGTTTTGTTTTGGAGTTGTGAAACAATTCTGTTTATCGTTACATTTTTAAAAGAGACATTTTAGACAAGCTTTCTTCTCCGTGACGCTTGGCCATTATTCTATTGTTCTATTGTCTACTGGAAGGCATTTTTGAAGTTTTGTCAATTACAAGGACATCCGAGGGAACACTTCATTGCATAGTCACCAATGGGACGCCCCCTAGTGGGCACTTAATCTCCTTGTTCTTTCCCTCTGGAGGAAAAAACACCCTAGAGGGTCTTTAATCTGGGTTTCTCCACTTAACATAACCAGCACTTTATTTTAACAGGAACATGCAGTAAACATTTAAGTCATTACATTACAGATCATTTGGCTGACACTTAGGGGATAGATGTCTTGCTCGGGGACACTTCGACATGGGGTCCGCCGGGACTCGAACCACCTACCTTGCAGTTCCCAGCACAACCGCTCTGCCCCTGCGCCACAACAACCCTTCCTCCATTTAGTCTGCTGCACTTGGTTGGGTCACTGACACATATTGTGACCTTTTTGTCGGTTATTGAAAGTGAAAAGATCAGGTTCCACATATCTGCTCTCATACTTCAGCTTAAAGCCGCCGCGTGTTTCTGCGTCTTTACGTGTCGACGCGCTGGTTTCACTTCCTGGTTGTAAAGTCCTGCGTGTGTTGCAGAGCGATTCACCTCCAGAACAACAGGTGGAGTCACGTGTTTTGTTGAAGACGACCTGGAGAGTCACGTCTTTGTGTGTGGAAGTCGCTGGTTGCTTTATTTATTGATCACAGACTTTATTGCCCCGTGCATCCACACTGCTGCTTTTCATCAAGGACACATTTGTCCCGTATTTTCCTCCACGACTTTGTTCCCCTCGTTTGTGGAGATCTCCCTCCATGAATCAGAGGCCGTCCGGCGTCCTCATAGTCCGCCAATGACGGCTTGTACAAGCGCTCATATTTAAAAGCTCTTCAATCTGATCCGTTCTCTCGTAAACATTCTTCCTTTTAATAACGGCCGTATTGTGCTGTGAAAACGGAGACGTGAGACTCTAAAGGACGGAGTTAGAGACCAATCACAGCCTTGTGCAGCTCTTGACGCTAGTCTCGAAAAATGTGTCGACGCACGCAAGGAGGTGTGAAAAGACACGCAAGGAACACGCGAGGGACACGCAGGGGACACGCAGGGGGGTCTTGCGTCTCTCTGAAAACGCGGAAGCATAAACTAGGCTTCAGAGGGGATTCCGGTTTGTTCCTAAAGCGCCGTCACAAAGAAACCAGTGGATCCTGTGTGGATGTGTTGGTTCCACAGTGTCTGCGTAACCAACACATCCGTAGTGCTGATAACACAACACCATTAGCATGTTAGACATGTTTCAATCAAGGCTTCTTCATTGTTCTACATCTAAACCCTCTGTCCTTCTCTCAGTGATCGAGGAGAAGGGTGTGAAGATGAAGCTGACTGTGATTGACACTCCAGGGTTTGGAGATCAGATCAACAATGACAACTGGTGAGTTGTAGGAGGGTGGAGACAAGGACATCCACATCTGCTCTACATTACAGGTCATTTAGCTGGCATTACATTACATTATCAACCAATGGCTCTAAGCAGCAACCTCGTGGTTCCCGGCGCACCCTCTCTGCCCCTGCGCCACAGCGACCTATAGTCTTAATGAATAAAGAAACCCAGTTCTCACTGAGCGTTATGCTCTGGATGACGATGGGGGGTCCGGGGGGACGTGGATGCTGTGCAGTAACTCAGACACTCTTTCCAGCTGGGATCCCATAGTGAAGCACATCAACGAGCAGTACGAGAAGTACCTGAGAGAGGAGATCAACATCAACCGCAAGAGGAGAATACCAGACAGCCGCGTCCACTGCTGCATCTACTTCCTTCCTGCCACAGGACACAGGTGTGTACGTGGTCACAATCAATGACCAGTCAATAGATCCCGTCACTGAGGACATTCAAAGGCCAATCCAGCGCAGTGGGTTCTTTCTGTCTCCCAGCCGTCCATGTTCAACACTGTTTACTGCCGGTTTGAGTCCAAATGGCCTCCAGTGGTCCTGGTGTGAATTAGAGAAAGACATTGAGCTCGATTGTGTGTACCTATGGTCATTGACATTGTGATGCACGGTGACAGTGGTACACTGGTCACGTCATGTAACGTTCACTAGTCCTGCAGCGCGACGCCCTCCTTGTGCTACTGGGTGTCTTTCTGTTGGTTAAAAAATTACACATGTATGTTGTTATTTGAATTTCTTGCTAAACCAACCCATGCAAACATTGTAGAAGTAACAAAGGCATGAACTGTTTCTGCATCACTTTAAGACAATAAGTTTGTGGTTTACATGATCAGAGCTGTGTCTCAACTCAGAAGGCTGCATCCTTCAGCAGCCTTCAGGTCTACCTGGGCTCCTCCAACATCTGCACAGGCCGAAGCGCTCTGAAATGGGACGGTGTGGCCTACGGGGGGACTTCCTGCTTGTGCTATCAGCTTTACCTCCCGTTGCCTAGCAACCTGCTGCACTCGACAGTAAAAGCCTTCAAAACCCCAAAACCTATGAAATGCAGATAGAGAAGATAATATTCTTCTCATTTCATTTCATTTAGGAGGATATGCTTCTCCTTGTATATATATATATATATATATATATATATATTAACAGGCTGAGAGAAGAACTTTTTTTGGTTATTTTAAATTTAAATGAAATCAGTTAGGTCATGTACTTTCAACTAAAAATAATAATTCAATCTCAAGGCAGAGGAGATTCCATCAATACTGTCAAAAAAACCTTATTTTTCTATTGCATAGGATACGAGCTATTTGAACTGTACCTTAAGATATTACAGAATACGTCCACCACACACGGTCCCCCTTCAGCGTGATGCTGCTTCCTCCTGCTCCATAAAACACGAGTAAATGTTTACAATCACACAACAAATCAAAAGGAGTTTCTTTGAACATTATTGTGACTTAGAAGTGATATTTCAGGATCACACCTCGTCTGTGGGATGAAGCGATGGGGGCACATTTCCTCTCTATTCTCCTCTCAAACTGGTTTACTTCCAGGTTACGCCCCATCGATGTGGAGTTCATGAAGAGGTTGGGGAAGATAGTGAGCATCGTACCTGTCATCGCCAAAGCCGACACGCTCACCATCGAGGAAAGACACGAGTTCAAAGAGAGGGTGAGGGACACACACACACACACACCACGTCCTGCAGATGATGTTTGATCTCCAGCGGGTGAGATCATGCATGTGCTATGCCCTCATATTTCCTGCCTCAACAAGTAACCTTTAGTGCAAACTAATCAAAAAACCTTTGACCTTTGTTCAACCTTTGACAGATAAGGGAAGACTTGACCGTCAATGGGATTGATGTCTACCCCCAGAGGGAGTATGATGAAGACCCCGAGGAGCGCGTCCTCAATGACCGAATCCGGGTAACGTCTCTTCTCCTGTCGCTGAGCTGCAGGAATCTTCAGACTTAATTCCACCAGATATGGATCGCATGAAAGTTACTGCAGAGAGCGTGTTAAACCTGAATGAAAGATTCTTCTTCTATTCGACCTACATCACTAAATGAGACCTGTTATGAGATGTATAAAAAAAGAACGAAGGGGATTTATATAGGACTATAGTTTTGAGACATTCTTTGTCCAGTTGATCAGCGCTCAGGTCAACCTGCTTCTGCTGAAGGGGCCTTGGCTGCACAATGAGGAGCTCATAATCCCACAGGAGGATTCACGTTTCTCCCACAGTGCAAAGTGCGAGGATGGGTCAGCGCTGTGCTAGCGAGGGTCAACCCTGCCTGAAGAAACAAATTAACATCACTGTCACAGCAAGGACATCCGTATTATCGCGATGATGTTGTGTTTTCATACTCTATGAAACACCTTTTCATTTGGCTCAGCATCCGTAATCCTGTATTTGTTGTGTGCTGATACAGCCGCTCCCTTGTTAAAGGAATGAATGTTCATAGTGATGACACACCCGTGTTGTGTGTCCAGGAGAGCCTTCCCTTCGCTGTGGTGGGAACAGACAAGGAGCACCAAGTGAATGGAAACAAGGTGTTGGGCCGTAAGACAAAGTGGGGAATCATTGAAGGTAAAGCGTCACCCTTCGTGCCTCTGCAGCTGCCTCCATCCCCTCCAACCACATGCGTGTGTACATACTGCATGGATGCTCAGAATAAGAGTAGTATAGAGTGTATTAATTCCCATTTTAATAACATGACATAAGGTCATCGGAGATCTCATTAAATATAAATAAGTCTCCTGACGAGGAGGCTGTTCTTCTTACGTGAAATGCTTCTGCCTCCACAGTGGAAAACGTGGCGCACTGTGAGTTCGCCAACCTGAGAGATCTCCTCATCAGGTGAGTTGCTGCTGCCCAGCAGTCGAACAGGATTCATGAATAGTAAATGGACACCAAGTTGCTGTTTGTAATATGCTCTTGTGTTTTTGCAAAGGTCTCACCTGCAGGACCTGAAAGACGTAACACACGACGTCCACTATGAGACCTACCGCGTCCGTCGGCTCAATGAGAGCAACGTGGACTTCAGCGACCTGAGCCGGTCCGCCCGGCCGCTGGAGAACGGGTGTGCTGACAAATGTGAATCAGACAGCCACCTCTGATCTCCCACCTTCCTGCTTATCCTGCTCGCCCAATCACAATGACAGAGTGATGGAGATTCTTTTCTTTTAAGGGACAAACCACCAAATGTATTGTTATTACATGAGAAATTAAGTTACAACACATACAGAATGCATCAAATAGGGATAGGCATGAAACCATTGTTCATATATATATTTCGGGAAGCATGGTTACAAATTGAGAGAGCCGGAGGGAAGGCAAGGGGAAACCAATACGTCTCACAATGGTTGCTAAGCATCTTGTTACCAGCTACACACATCTTACAATTTATGGACAGAAGTGTGTGGACAAACCTTTCCGTTCAGTGTCGGCCCAGTGATGCTCGGAGCAGACAGCTTCAACATCTCCAAAGCAGGACGTTAGAGCCCAATTAATCGTCTTCATATTGCAGATGTTTGTCCATACAGATGCTGTACATGTGAGGGACACAGAACCCACGTGTTTGACAAACCTTTTGCATAAAGATGCTGGTACACATTTAAGTGCCAAACCAACAGAACACGCTTCATTCATCCATCCCTTTGGGGAAGCTGTGGAGGAATTGGATCTGCTTATTGCTTGTTAACTTGTTATGACATCATGGGTTGCGTTAGGTTGATTAGTAGCACAAACTCATGAACAAAGCTCATGAAAAGTCATATGCTGAAGGTCTGGCTATTGATCATGATCAAGTCTGACTCTCACTGAGGCAGATCTGGTTAAGGACAGGATAATCGATGCCGAAATATGAACCAGCGTTTAGAATCAGTGGTGATTTTCAATGTTTCAGATTCTAGCTGCATTGGACAGGCGTCCGGTTCGTTATAGCAGTCAGATAATATACACATATATGTTCTAATTTGATTTTCTTGCTAAACCAATCCATGCAAGAATCCAGCCAATTAAACATTTGCCAGTGTGTAGTGCGCCTCCAACACCACTGGTGTCTGAACCCTAATGCATAACGCTGTAGATTTTCTCATCAATGCAAAGAGCGTCTCCGGCCCGCATCAATGAAAAGAGTTGATATTGTGGATACAACAGTTACAATAATGCTAATGATAAACCTCGTGACCCCGCTGCTCTGAATCATGGGAGATGCTTTAGGCCCCATTTGTACAGCTGATCAGATCTTGCGTTCCCTGTTCCCAACTTTAAGCCTTTAGACAGGAACTGTTGGCCTCACCCCCACAGTCCTGGACACCCCCCTGCAAGAGTAGCAGACTTTTCGCACTGCTTCTCAGGTGCACAGTTAGAACGTGTGATGTGTTGCCAGAGATGTCCTTGTGTACCGACACATCTTGGAGCAGACCTGTCCAATTAAGACCATTTCAATTCAAAGACCAACTCAAGCAAAGATAGTAGCATGATAGCACCAAACAAAAGTAAATGTGACGTTTGGACGTTGTTCATTGACGGATGGTATTTGTCTGAGGTCACCCAGACCTCCACGTAGAACCTTCAGGACCAGACGCCAACCACAGACTGTCCATGGTACGATAACAGAGCTGCTGTATTTATCACTATGGGACGTCATTCAGTGTTGAAGATGGAGATACCATGTTAGCATGGCCTAGCGCTGATTGATCGAAGAGACAAGCATCTTGGAAGTTGTTTGCCAAATGTCCTTCTGACAGATGAATTGAGACTATTTACAAATCTGCCTGATATCCTACACATTATTGTGATTGCAACGAAATCTCATCATATTGTGTTGACGTGCTGTGGTGAAGCAGATGAATTCAGCCAGCCTGTGGTTGAATACAGAGCGAATTGACTGGAGCTGTGAACATGTGGCCTTTTGGTGGGACCACAGCAAACTGCACCAACATGATGAGAAGTTAAACCACTGGAGAGCCTCACCAACAAGAACTTCTCGTATGACATTTGAGCGACCGCAAATAAGTGCCTCTGTCACCTAAAGGACTGCTTGTTCTCAGTAGGCTGAAGGTTCCTCCCATCTCCTCAGACAGTCACACACAGATGTATCTGGAGAAGTACCTCAAGGGTTGGCCTTTAGCATTGGAACCACTGGACCATCCATCACAAAGGGAAAGGAGATCATTCCATCCCTCAATTCCTTGTGGCGGCGATACTCAAATAGTGACGTATCATTCACGAGAAATAAAGATCCTGATAATCTAGTTTTGCGCCGCTGACTGACGTCACTAACTTGCGTCGCATCGGAGCTCCGTAGCTCAGTGGGAGCGGGTTGATTCCCTACACGGCAGTTGTCTTTTCCTAACTCCTCATGAACTCTCCTAACCTCCATTTCAACTCCTGCACTTGACTTCCTGTGCTGGGGTCATACACTCCTGCCACCAGAGGTCGGCGTTGCATTGTGGGAGTGGTACGGGTGATAAACCATGTGAACTACTAGTAGTTGCTGCATGCCCGTTTTAACCCATGAGGCTGCTCATGTTCCAGGAAAGTCTTTTCTGCAGCGCGTTGATGCTTAAGGCGTCTCTGTACTCGACGCTGAGCGGGTGTATGAAGTTGGACCATCTGTGCCTTGGTCATCATGATTGGTGAAAACGTTCCCCGCTAACTCGCCAGCTATCACGAAATAAATAAATAACCCCAATATGCTGCAGTGTGTATTATGTACAGCTCCATGTGAAAAGGTGTAGCAGGATTCCCACACACACAAACATGGTTCATGCTGAGATGGCAACGGGTGACTTGTTCCTCTGTGACTTTACTGCTCATTCTTAGTGCTAACATGTAGGCAGCTACAGTGTGAACCTTTACTCAAATCATTATCGCCACTTCAACATTTTCCAAAGATAGTTTTAGTCTCACCTGATTTTGATTACTACCTTTTACTTTTTTCAACCGCTGTCACGGCTCACTGGGATCATTCGGATCGTCTGGCACTGATTCTCTACATCCTGAGCCTCTGCGTCAACTTCCTCTCCTCCCCATTTTATACACAGCGTGTACCAGTAGTTCCTCCTTCATTCCTTGTTTTTATAGTATTGATGCACCTGTTAACACTGTTGATTTACAAATAAAGAGCTAAACACACCGTCTGAGTGGAGTGTGAAGTGATTGTGATAAACTACAGGTCCTGGCTGCCATGTTGTCTTTGCTGCACCAACAATTAGCAACATTATTTATTATCACCACGTGCCTAAATAAACTAATTCACAAGGTTATGTTGTTCTATAAGACAGGGTTGTGAAATAAGGAATAAAGTTCTGACCTGTATCTCTTTCCACATACAGGCAGCACACAGCGGATGGATTTGTTCTTTTCATATCTCTTCATCCTCTTCACACAGCATCCCTGAGGCTCAGTGGAGGGGTGGCAATGATGTGTGAGCGGTTCTAATAATGTAATGTTTGCAGTAGGGAGGCTTTTTAAGCTTTAGCTCGAGTCCTCACTAAGATCTAGAAAGTGGATCAATCCAGTTCTGAGGTCTTTACGCAGACATCCGGTCCAACAAAGACATGAGTTTAAAATCCTCCTCCTGGTTTATAAACCACTGAATGGTTTAGGCCAAATAGATGTCTGACCTGCTTCTACCTCATGAACCCCCCACCCCACAAGTCCTCTGGGACGGGTCTCCTTCCTGTTCCCATAGGCAGAACCAAACATGAAGCAGCTTTGGTTCTTCTGCTCCACATATCAGGAACAAACTGCCAGGAAGCTGCAGGTCTTTCTACCTGATAAGCCTGAAGAATGTGTTGTTTTCTGCTGCCTTTAATTAAACAGATTCAAGGATGAAGAGGAAGGATTGTGGATCTTAATTGTTCAAATTTCTTTTTCGTTTGCCTCATGTTCTAATGCTTTATGTGAAGCATAAAGCATACGTTGTTTAAATGTGCTATACAAATAATAATAGGATCTTCCATGCTGTCACACACTCCTCCACCTTCACATCTCCACCCAATCTTATTCAGATCCATTACCTCATTATTCTCAGAATCTTCAGCCGGGGGGATTTATCTGGATGCTGGTCACGGCGGACCCCTCCACAACCACAAAGCTCCCGTTACAGTTGCCAAAGACTGTCAGACTATCTGTTAATAGACCTTCACCTAGTACTTGTATTGTTGCCCAGTTTCTGTGGTGGTGAGAGTGTAATGAGGTCTGATCCGATCGGAGCCGGTGGGTTGACCCCGCTGTATGACAAGAGGAGTCCTGCATTCAAAACCTCACTTGTCTACATTATTAGTAAGATTTGCAGTAAGTAAGTCAAATGTTCCCTGTCATGATCATGCGTTTGTCAGTGACACAAAAGGGCCCTTTAATATCAATGCCGTACCTTGTGTTACCTGGAATCCTTGAAGATGACTCTCATGTTCTTGTTCTTCAATTGAAGTTACAATATAAACCCATTGGACTCACATAGTTCAGCAGCACAATGATGAGACAAGAGGTTTTGGCAGAGCTGCGTGTGATTGTGAAGAACAGCCGCTGGACAGAGGAGACTTGGATCCCGCTACAGGGGTTTACTTAGAGATGCTAGAGTCTCATCTTCTGATCCTCAGCACACGACAAGTTCAGGAACCTGCGCTGCCATGCGACGAGTCATCGATGGCGATGAGGATTTGTTGCTGTGCTTTTCCTTCAAGGGGTCAAATACCTTTTGACTCGTTGCCTTTGTGATTTGTGAGGAGACACAGTGGGAATGTACCTGTTGTCTAGTCCACCCTGGTCTCTACAACCTGCAATTTATTTTGCTTAAGAGCTGCAGGAAAACTGATTGTACACATTGTGAGCATATCTGTTCTCTGATAATGCTTTATTAGCCGCACAGCGTGACCCACCATCAGTCCACTTCACTCATCCAAACCACTTGCTGACAACATCAATGTTTGTTTGTTTGGTTTGATTTAGTGTTTTTTCATTTTGCTCTGGAACATCTGCAGTTACCAAAGCCTAAATTGCGAGTGTGATGAGTACAACAATTACTTCATTTAAAGTGAGATCAGGCACAGGTTGCTTAAATGCAAAGACACACAAAATAAGCCAATTTCAACATTATCAGTAAACTGTCAGTATTTATTTTCCTGCTTGAAGTTGTGCTGTACAAGGGTTGTAACAAAATGGTGACAGATGTTGACCAAAGGCTGTAGACAGTAGTAGAAGGGAAGGACTGACCTTCGACCATTTAGAGAGGGTTTGCTGTTAGTCATTAGTAGCTGAAAACCAATGTCAGACTTCATCATATTATATCTTTTGAATTTCTTGGAAGCTCATTAAAAATAAAAATCCTGAACAGCATCAGTGATCAAATTGTGAGTCGTGGTTTGAGAGTGACAGCTCATAATCATCCTCTTTGGCTGCCTCGGACCAATTAGCCATACTAGTCATATTTAGAATTGCAAAAATGTTGTTTGTTGATCTGGCACTGTAACTCAAATTGTGATTAGGTAAACAGTTGTTGATTTAACTCAATTTGTTGATGAACTTAGTGCAATTGCACCCAAAGCAACATATCAATGATAATGAGAAGTTGGCCAAACTAAACGCAATGGAACCAGGTCAACTTGTACGACTTGGCTAATGGCAGTTACGTAACACACTATGCATGTAGGTCCAAAGCTAACGTGGAGGGTTGGCTGGAGCGTCATAGTGTGAAGTTGTAAAAAGGTCTCCCACACCCACACACATAGCTAAATGCTAAATGCTCACAACTGTTTCAAATTGGATGCTTATTAGATTTTCTGTTCAGTCATTTTGTCAGAAAGGAGCTTCCATAGTCCCTCATCCTCTGAGATATTTCCCATTGTCTTGTTAGTAGACATTGCTTAGCAATACCAGAGGCCAATGTCACACTTCGAATGCTTTAATGTGTATTATAATGTGTATTTGCCCAGTCAGCACAATGACAGTAACCAGAACCTGTTTGTTTGCCCTCTTATTCTTTATGACGGATACTCACAAGCACAGAAGAAAATACAGTTTTGTGCATTATGTTCCTTCTCACTGGTATCTAATGAGTTAGACGATGACATATGTTATATGTGAAATCAGTACATCATTTCATTTTGGCGTCTGAAATGTCAGTAAATAATAATGAAAAAAACTAAACCAGCAATCAATGCGTACTCTAATTCAGGCCCATATTTGAAGCAAGTTCCATAAAAGAAAAGGCTTTGAAGAATGTCTCTTAAATAAATAAACCACGTGAAGAAGACACAAATTAATTTAAATAAATAAATAAATATACTTATGTACAATGGAGAGACTCTGAGCGACCTCTACAATGAGCCCTAAGGAAACACAGACCAGTTAAAACATGCGCGGTCTGCCTCGCCGATCGGCCATGTGACGCGCTGCTGCAGATGCTATTGGCCGACATAATACTGGCTGCACTGGTCCCATTCCTTCAGTTGGCAGTCAGCAGGTCGAGCAGCACGCTGGCTCACTGTTGGGACAACATTATTTCAATATAAGGTGATGGCTGGAAAGACACGAGTACTGGCTTTATGGTTATTGTGTCTCCTTTCCAACACCAGAAACCCATTTTCATATCATATAAATACTTTGGTTTTTGGGAAGCTTGACTATTTCTCCTTCGTACCCAGAGTCATACACCTTCATGATGCCTTTTTCTATCATTTCAGCAAAATAACGGCATGTTGAATCCTAAACTTACTGGAGCTTAGGTCAGTCTATGGATCAAAGGTCTCAAAGAAAATAGGATTCATCACAACTTGAGTTGTAGCTTTCACCTTCACCTTATGTTCTAAATGAGTTTGACAAACCTGTTTCAACCTGGTTGGTTTCATCCGAGTGTCCCAGTTTTAAGCACATTTTTCAAATGTTGCAAACAAATTTGCTTGTGAACCAGAAGCCAAACCAAAGTTGGCTTGGCCGTCTACAGTCTGTACAATATGTGAATGGAAACAGCTGATCATCTGATTGCACTTTGTTTTATGGCTCCAGTGCCATCATTGCTAATAAAACCAAAGACTTGCGCTGCAGCGATAAAGCTGATTGGTCAAATGCTCATTGAGATGTAGGTTTGAGGTGTACGTCTATGCTGCATTACAACAGGATAACATCCGCCCAACGTCTTCTCCCAAGGGACTCATTTTGTGTCATTGACTAAACTAAAGACCCCTGATATACACGTTTCATATTCGATTATTGGACTGATTAACTACTACAATAAGCCCAAATGCTAAGCACAATAATTGCACGAGGATGGGTTAAACTTTTTTTTGAGGAATTTTGAGCAAGTTCTTTAAAATGTCATATCAGAGTTTTCCTTTTGATACAGTCCGTATTACTTAGTTCAACAACAATGCAACTTAGTAGGTTCTCTCTCCGACGTCTGGTCGTTGTTCCATTAGCTCTTTGGTTGTTTTTAATCGTGTACTTGTCTCCAGCATTTCTCTACCAACTCAAAACATGTCTGCATGCTACGGACATACATATATCTATATCTATAGATATAGATATCCTCGTTGCCGTGGCTCTGGATGAAGCACGCAGGCAGAGAGGACTGACCTGCTGGTCTGTGTGGTCCTCTCCGTTTACATTCAGATCACCATCATCACCACATGAGGGGATTCCACAGTGAAAACCCTAAAAACAACAGCACAACAGGCGACCCGGTGTTTGTGTCGCCTGTCTGTTCCGCTCCTCCACACACGGCTGGTTAAGAAGTAAAAATATCACGCTTAGTGTTTTAAATAACGTTCAACACTTTTAAACTGCCAAAGAGTGGCAATTTGCAGTTTTCAGCTTCTATAAACTCTCCCAGTTTGCAGTGATTTTAGAAATATAGGATGTAAATGATGATTGTAAAATGTCAATTATAGGCCAAATATACAAAAAAGTGTGTGATTTTTGGCCGAACAAAGGCGGTTATGATGTACTTCCCGTAGGGTTTGAATGAAGCGAGTTTTGTGAGCAGGCTAAAAGTTTAAGCAGCTGCTGCTGTCGTTTCTGAGAGCTTCTTGAACGTCTCACCTCAAAAGAATTAAGCTCAAAGCTAAAAATGTCCCGCCTAATGTTTCATGGTCTGTGCTAAGAAGCCTTTGTGCAGCACGCCGTGCTTCTCCAACCTGCAGGACCTCCAACAGGTTTACCTCCAACAAACCACAGTTGTATCGTTGGATCTCTGCTCATCAGTTTCATTCTGTTAGTGGGTGATATTGTGCAGGGGGACAAGCTGAGCTGCAACAAGATTCACTCAAGCTGGGCCGAACGTGATTGACAAACGGTAGAAAAGGTCATTCATAAATGTCTGTGACTCTGGGTTTGGAGGAACATTTCTGAAATTCCTGAAAACTTTGTGAAAAACGGCAGCAATATAACCATGAAGTTGCTGCTGTCTCCGGCCTGAAGTGGACTCTGAAATACTGAAATCCCCTTTTATGGGAGAAGGAATGTGATGTTAGCCAACGGGTCACACAACGCATCGGCAGCCTCAGGACCACGACTAGACATTGTGTCTCTCTATCGTATTTAGAAGAGAAGAGGAATAAAGAGGGTTATTGTACTTTGGACCAACATGCTAACTGAAGTTAGAAATAGCATCGCTGTCCCTTTTTTTACCCATTTGTGTAAAAAGTTAGATGCTTCTTTTTCCACATTCCACAGCCTTTGCCACACATTTCCCCTTTGAAAACACAACATTCACAGTTTACCACAGCTCGTCTTCCAGATGTGTAAATGAAGTAGTACGTATGCAGAAATCCAAAGAGGAGAGGGAGGAAAGTAATGAGCCAACTGACTTTTACACACAACAAAACTGTAAACTGATAATCTGAGATCTTCTCCTTTGTTGTATTGACACGGAAATGGAAAAGGGTGGTGGAACCCAAAGGCGGTAAGCTGCGAGTCCACGGCGCACACTTTACACATGGAGAAAGGGAGAAGAAAGGAAGAGAGATCCCTGTCATCCTCTTCCTCCCTGAGTCCAGTTTCTCCGGCTGGCATTATGGTACCTCTCTAAACAAGAGAAAACTAAACGTTTAACACCTTCTAAGAAAGAAATGTCAGCAGTTATATTACACCGGGATGTTAATAGTAAATGTAAGTCCTCAAGGTTGTGAGGACCATTTACAGTATGTGTGTGTGTTTGCGGTGTATGAGCTCATGTGTTCCACCGTATCAGCTCCAACCCAAGTCTTTATTTCCCTTTCACAGATTCCTCCGTGCTGGATGTGTCGCTCCCTTTAGTGTCCATTCAGCAAAAGTCTTTTGAGAAGCCCTCCTCTGTAAACAAAAACTCCTTAGTTGGTTCTGAAAGAGACTTGCTGTCAGACAAGACGTCACACCAAGCTCCTCACACCAGCATCTTCTTGAGTGAAGCTCAGATGCAATGCCATCATCCTCGGGGTCTGTACCATCATCTGCCCTTCCTGCCTCTCTGTCCGCCTACGGGTCAGTCTGCTCAAGGGGGTGTGGAGGAAGACGGGCGAGGACGGGGGCCGGTAATGAGGTTGGTCACTCGTTAGAGAAAGGAGTGAGGAAGAGGAAAGAAGAGGAAGGTAAAAGTATGGTGGTTGGTGGGTCAGTCGTCTTACTCGATGACCATGCAGTGGGGCAAGTGCTGGGTGTAATATTTGAAGAGCTCGGCGGTGGCTCCGGGGCAATTGGTGAGCTCCAGTTCCTCCAGCTCCTGCAGCTGGATGAGGCCTGACAGACTGGTGGTGGTCAGCAGGGGGCAACCTGGGGGCACAGCGGGGGGACGACGTTCAGCAGCCAGTCTAGTTAAAGTGCAACTGACATTGTGACGGTTTTGCTGATTACTTTCCAATTATCTTCTAGTTAAATGAAACGTCAGGAGGAAATGTGCCAAGGGTTTGGGTGAAATCATTAACTATAAATTCTGAAATGCTATTTTTAAATGTGCAAATGAGGCATTCCCCTGAAATAAACCATTTATGTATCGTTTGGTGGTTTTCTTTACACTTGTTTAAAAGAAGATATCTTCAGAAAGACAAATAGCCCAAATTTCAAAATGGACCATATCATCGCATTGAGGGCCAACATTACACATAAATCACCAGGTATTGTGTTTTATTAAATATTACAATCCTAAAAATATGAAGTGTCCTAACAAATTATTATATATAACATATTATTATAATTTATAGTTGGTAAGTGCTATTTTTCTTTTTTCTTAAATATTCTTTGTCTTTCCTATAAAGCATCAGATTATGTTGTTTCACTTGACATTTACAATCTTTTATGTGCATAGATTGTGTTTGGAATGAATATGAACTGATGTAGCACATAGTCACATAGTGATAGAAGACATCTCTGCTGGAGCTCAAACTCATACCTGCAAGAGACAGTAGACGAAGACTCCTCATTCCAAACAAGTGCTGGAGACCAAAGTCCTGCACCTGCACACACACACAGAGGACCCAACATGAGAAAAGTCCAGATGGGATAGTCAGCAGAGCCACCTGCCCATCCGTCACCAACACGTAGCCACAGGAGCTTCAGTGTCCCGAGGACACATTGACTTGTGGACCAGCGACTGATCACTGACTGAACCACAGTGGCTTTTCTGTTAGTGGTGTGGGAGGGAGTCGAGTGACCACAGCATGACAGCGGGAAGTGTCCACGTGGCAGCATGTCCATAATGAAGACAATGAAGAGAAGCCCTGAGCTTGTCGTTTGTTTATTCTGCCATTCTTAAAGCCTTAATACAAATGTAATACTATAGGGCCTATTAGGTTTGTGATCAGCTCATTTTAGAATGAACTGGCAAGAAGAAGTCCTCCACAGGCTGTTTATCATAGTTGACAAACTGAAAGGTAGATGGGAAAGAGATCTGCTGATTGTGTCTTCCCTGGACCAAATGTGCAGGAGGACACAGGAGAAGACACAGTCGGGCAGAGGGAACTAATGAAGAACCGTCTGTGCTGGTAACAGTAACGGCATCTTGTAACATTACATTATTGGAAGGTCATGACCTCCTTCTGACACATCACAGGCTGAATCCATGATTTACTGCTACATCCATTAACCTGTATGAAGCATTGTGGTTCCGCTTGCTTACCGTTACTACTCGTTGTTGTTATTGTTATTTAGGGCTGTCAATAGAGTTTAAAAACAACAACTAATTCATCTCACATTTTCAAATTCATCAATCGAAAGTCATCACATTGCCTAGTTTTTTTCGTTAGTTGCTAAATGATTGTAGAACATCTGTTAATCTAAATATACAAGAGAATGCAGGGACTTCTCCAGACGTCTTCAGTGTGTGGACGTGTGTGTGTAATTTGTGTTACCTGACAGCACCAGCGCAGATACAGGCTCCTTAAGGATGACATGGTGGACAAGTAGCCCAACCCGGTATCCGTGATCCGCACACACCTAAACAGACACAAACAAAGGACATTCATTTTTCTGACCGATGCCCTGAGTAAATAAATAGCTAGGGTGACCAGATTGACACTTTGTCGTATAACTAGTTTGTGAAAGACCCAGAGAAACACAAATATCACGGACGTTTTTGGAATCCCTGCCGGACGCATTTTTTAGGTCTCAAGAAGTGGACATGTCCGGGGAAAAGAGGACGTCTGCTCACCCTAACTTAGCTCTTAACATGTGGTGGCGTCTGCAGGGGGGAGAGAGGGGGCGAGAGGGGGGGTGGCTCAGGGAACGGTGCCAGGTGGAGGCAACCGGCCTCAGCTGATTACACACTGACTGTTTGTATCGTGGTTTTAAAATGCACTGGGGACGAGCGGCGGTGTGAGAGAGCGAGACTCCGGGGACCTCGCCGATCTTGAAAAGAGAGAAGCATCGATAAAAAGCTTATTGAAACGGAACCTGCTGTGTCGTACCGACCCCCCAAGCACCCCCACCGTGACAGTGGCAAATGCTAAAAAGGGGCTTGCAGGTCACTGTGCTATTTGGCTAACCTTGCTAAAACTGCTTACAACACTGCAAACAACTAGAACAGTGCGGACAGCAGCGGCTTAGGACATATAGACATTACATCGAAGTAATCACACCACTCACTAACAGACATAGAAGCACACAGACTGCTCAGGTCATCGTTACTCATCTATAGACCCGATAAGCATACTTTAAAAACCTTCCCAAGATTGGTTTGGAGTTTTCTAGGTAGGGCCATCCAATCAATTTCAGCAAAAATCGCACTCTGATTTTATGCAAAACAAAAAATGAAAGTATCAAAAATGCATCACTACTTTGTAGTTCAATATTTAATATTGCCTTCAACCAGTGCCGACCCGTCCTCGGGTGTAGGAACCTTGCATGCAGCAGTGCGCCCTGATGCCTGCTTGGATCGCTTCTCTCCCATCAACCTTCATCAACTGACTTCTACAATTTCTGATGGTGGTCACATCTGATGTGATCTGTACACATGCAACATCCTCTGTCCTGGAACCTTTTCAACAGCATAGAAAATCCAAATAAGCCTTTTAACAGGGAGAGAAAAGTAAGACCCTCAGGGAGAACAACAGAGGAGGATCCCTCTACCACGATGATGGAACGTTGATAGATCCCATGTGTACAGAATGAACAACGTAAAAGATTTACAATACATTCAATTTATGCAGTAGCAGCAAAATGATATACCCAACACAGTACTAATATATCATCTATTATATATATATGTATATTAGTACTATGTTAGCATAGATACAAATCAGACAGTAAAGGTCTTACGCCTGCGCATCTGGAAGATGTAGTTACTTTAATTGTTGACTTGAGTACAGCAACTACGGCCTACTACTACTTTGTACTACTCCGCACATAGCAGGCTTTGTCACAGGCACTTTGCAGGGATGAAATCAAGGGACCACAAACATACTGACCTGTCCAACACCAGTTCTTCCAGTTTATGAAGGTCACAGGCAATGTACTCCAGGGCCATGTCTGTGATCCGAGGGCACCAGGACAAGTCCAGACTGCGGAGCTTACGCAGATTCTCAGCAACCAGCTCCACACCGTCGTCCGTGATCTTGGAGCAGCCAGAGAGGCTGAGGGAAGTTAGGTTAGGTAGGCTGTGCACCATGTTGACCACGCCGTGATTGGTGATTTCCCAGCAGGAGTGGAGCCGCAGAGTGTGGGTAGTGTAGCCCTGGGGGTGAAAGGTCATTTTAGTTTATTTGATTATGCCTGTAAAAGCATTTTAGTAAAATAAATGATGTGCTTTGGCATGGCTCTCTTTACCCCCTGGCTTATAATAAATGAATATGCTACGCTTGTGTCACTATGCCTTTTTCCTTTGTAGACTGCAAGCCAACTGCGGGGTGGACCGGTGACAGGTGGGGTTTGTGGCCTCAGAGGGGATTTTTCCCCATCCGTGCCTCTGAGGGATAAATTCCTGAATCTCTGCCCTTTCGATGACACGCAGGACTATTAAAGGTACAACTCAGCCGAGAACAAAAAGCTTGTGAAAGTTCGTTGGAGTGTTCGAAGGCGGATACAAGGAACCTGTGGATTACCATTTGACTGAGCTTTGTACCGTTTTTCTCTGGAAACTGTGATATAACCTAATTTTCTATTGGAAGTTAACAAAACCTAGTTTTCTCTGAGCCTTTGAGGTTTCCTGAAAGGTTTCTTCATAGAGAACCTAAACCCTCAGCTCAGGAGGACAAGCAGAGGACTCTGGTGAGCCCCTGAGCTAAAGATGAACTTTTTTATGCTATACACATCCACTCGCTCCACACGCTCCTGAAGATATACAGTGGTCCGCTTTTAGCCGAGTCGAAATTATCCAGGGTATGTCTGAGCCAGAGATGAATGACATTCATTTCGTGATAGTTACTCGTGATCAGTGACGATTGAAAATTCCTGAAGGGCAGTTTTCGGAGTTGACCGGAGGTTGAGGAAAAGAACCTGCGGGCTGACCTTCTCTCGCCTCGACGGCCCTCTAATCAGATGTCAATATTCTTGTCATTATCCATGAGCGGTTATCGTGTTGCAGGGTGCTGGAACCGATCCCAGCTGACCTTGAGCTAAGGCAGAGTTCACCTTGGACAGATCAGCAGGCGATCACACCAACGTTCATATCTACAGGAAATCATTATCAACACTAACCACTATTGTGAATATCAGTCTGCTGCTTCACATTTCTGATGGGGGTTGGAATGCTCAAAATTGCAATATAAATGGCACACACTCAGCAACTGGTGAAAATGTGAAAATTGCAGAGTGACCCGGGCTCAGGCGTTGCTCTGTCATATCTTGTCTCGTTACCTGTTTGGCTGTGAAGTAGGCCATGGCCGTATCAGTGACGTGGTAGGCCTGCAGACTCAACTCTGACAGGTTAGGCAAGAGTTGGGAGATAGCAGCAATGGCATCATCCGCGACATTGATGCAGTCACTGACACTGAGGGAAGTTAGCCGGGCATTCAGACTGGACCACAGGCCCGCCTCGGTGAAGTCGTTGCAGCCTGACAGCTCAAGGTGCATCAGGCCCTGCATTTGCTCCAACATGACCTGCAACATGAAGGAAACCAGTCTGACTTACGGACGTAGCTGCTGGATGTGGTTTCAGAGAGATCATTGCAGAGAGGACCAGATTAATGAAAGGTTGCACTTGTGAAGCATTATATTATTATAACTTTTACAATGATTTCCAATCAACCCAGCTTGAAACTCAAATTGGTAACTTTTTGTCATATCATATCATAAAAGACTGATGATCTGTGAAAAACATGTCAAATGTCATTACGAGCACTAAAAGCAGGCAAGTGGATTTTAGGTGAAACTTCAACCAATGGATAATGCCTGAAAAACTTACTAGTCATTCATTGTTCACACCTGTACTAGAAGTAGTAATTCACATCACCCGGGATGTCATTATTCCTAATACTACTAGTCATTCATTCCAAACATCATGCTGAGTTACCTCTACTGCTCACTGTCCTGGATACTGTATTGTCCACACCTTCTGGGTAGTTTTTGTCTGCGCTCTGTAGGCTGCCCTGCGCGGCCTTCCACCGTACCTGCCCGCGGCCCACCCCCACCCCCACCCCCGAGCCTCTCCTCACGGGCCTCACGAGAAATGAATCCCTTCTTTCTGATGCTTTTGGATCCAGTCCTCACCAACACCTACCGGCGGGTTACCCCAGTGCTGTCCAGTGTTTTGACCCGGTATCGTTCTCTTTGCCTCCCAATTCGGATTCCTCTACCTGCCTTGTCTGATTACTTAAGTAAAGACCTTGTTGTTTGAAGCCGACTACCTCGTCCTCGAGCCTGCTTTTGAGTCCAGGGGCCTCATTTGTAAACGTTGTGTACGCACAAAAGAAGGCGTACGCCGCTCTCTACGCAATAATTGGTATTTATAAAAAGCCAACTTGGCGAAAAATGTCCTTCACGCAAGCTCGGACCCCAAAAACGGGTGAAATGAGAACCGTCGGCAAATGCAAGAAACGCGCAAACGTGTGTGAAAGTGTGTAAAACTAGACTGTTGTAAAAGAAATGCCAATACTGCCTCTCATAAATAACACAAACACCCGTCTGATCGATTTGCAGCGTAAAACAAACAAATACTAATTAACACATTTTCAAAAAGAAAAGTGAAATATGTTCTGCAATAATATTGTTAAATTCATCCTCAAAACACAGCTGTTGCTTGTCAGATGCAATCAGACGGACGGTAATAAAACGCCGTGATGACATCACAATGCGTGATGACGCAGATGGCTGATCTTGCGCTCTTAGATGTGGCACATGGAAGGATTGGCGCTGTAGTGCAGCGCACCGTCGGCCTGTTTAAGGGCAGATGGCGCTGCCTCGACTGTACTGGAGGGAGGTTATTGTTTACTCCTGAGAAGGTGTGTAACATCGTGCTGCATGTGCTGTGCTACATAATGTGGCACAGCTTCCAAACGTGCCTCGACCCCCTGACGCCGATGTTGGCCCAGACCCTGTCCCCGATCCCCAATCACTGCCCCCAGCCTCTCATCAGGAGGGGACAGCTCCGGTGTCCCTGCTCCCCACCCATGGAGACACACTTTGGCGAAGCTAAACGCTTCTTTGCATCCACTTTGATGTCAGACCATTTTTTCTTTATTTGGGCCACGGTGCGAGTTTGTGAGGCTGCAGCGTTGCTCTGCAACCTTTTGCCACTCAGGTGCCTTATTGGCATCAGTGATGCCCATACTGTGCCCTCCAAAAGGCATTTTACTTCTCCTTTCCACCTCGCCAATGATCATTTCCACTTCACACTGAGTTAGTTAAGTTACGTTTCTTCGTTTTCCTCTCGGTGTTTGTCATGATTTCGCAATGGATGAATATTAATTTGTGGGCGTTCCACAGACTATACATGGGCAACTGTGGGCGTGACATGAAGCCGCAAAAGCTGCGCTGCATTTAGAAGTGATTGTGATTTATTAAGGGAAAACTGCGTAGGACGTGCGTGCTCACGGTTTTATAAGTCTGAATATTTCTGTGCGTATGCACGTCCTACGTTTCATCCGTACGCCACTTCTGGCCAAATCCTACGCAAGGTTTTATAAATGAGGCCCCTGGCCCTTGTGGCTCCCTAACGTACTGAGTAACCTTTGCAATTGCTAGTCAATGATTAAAAATATCACCATTCATACAATTACCTGTAGCAGTCTTTTTTTTATCATTCTGCGGCATACATTAACCTAAATAATATGAGTGAAGCATTCTGATTGGTTGAGAGTGAGTCATGGGGTCTACTGTATTGAACCATACAGTATCGTACACCTGTTTACATTGATCCAGAGGCGGACTGGCCATCAGGTACACCGGTGAAATCCCCGGTGGGCTGGCGGGGTTGGGCCGGTCCAATGCTGGCCCACCTCTATCACCTCTATCATGTCCTTTGCCACAGGTCAAGCCTTGAACTGCAACATTGACGATACATTACTGCCTCTCGTAACTTACTGGTACTAGTACTAGTCATTCTTAATACTTTTGTCCTTCGTGCAGTAACCAGTATGAAGACTATTTTGTCATTTTAAACACCCTTCTTCACGAAAGGCTACATTATATGAATCCTGAAAAACGAGAAGTTTAGTTTAGTTTAGAACTACAGAAGTTTAGTTTTTTTACTTGAATTACTGACGGCTGAAAAAAACAGAAGACACTACTTCTATATTTTGTAAATATGTCTTTAAGAAAATTTACTTCAAATTTTAAAAAAAAGTTAGGAACAGTGCAAAATCTTATTTCCACATTCAACAAGTTTTTCAATGCATTTTTTCTGTCTCGCATTGTGTATTTTTCGCTGTCTTTCTGATGCTGATGAAGCTTCTTTTTTTTTAACCGTCGTCGCTGTATGTTAGGGTTGCTGATGAAGCCGCGACCCCCCTGTGGGTCCACCATGCCCCCCCCCGTGGGTTGTGACCCCCGGTTTGGGAACAACTGGCCTAACCCAGCTACATCTACTTGGCAATACAAGATTCACACGATCATTTCAGAAATAATTTCCCTCTGGGCACCTAAAAGTGTAGCATGGTGGATGAACTGACAAACATTCATTACATCTATGTTTAAAATGTTGGTTTGTATTATCTTGATATGATATGATCTTGTCTGTGTTAAGGTAACGTAGCGAGAGAGAAGGGTTTTTCTTTCTAATTCTCACTAGAAATAGTCACATTTCTGGCTCTGGCCTGTTGCCTCAATTGGCCGCCAACAGTTTTGTGAAGATAGGTGGCATCGTGAAATTATGAACATTATTTCAAAAAAGAGCAAGAAAAAGCTCTGTACGTTCTGTATCATAAAGAGAGCTGTGTTTGAATTTAGCTATATTGTTCTTTGCATTAGTGTAACACAAAAAAAATATTTTCCTTTTGTAAAAAAAAGAAATCATGTTTATGGTCCAACAAAATGGTAATGCACAGATCATAAGCCTTTAACAGCAAAGTCTACACATAGATTATGCATTTAAGAATTCTAGCTTTCTCTATAGCAACCATCCACTCATTCGAGAATAGCTTGAAAAGCTATCTGAAAAACAACTTAAAGGCACCTGATGCCTCTTTTGCTTCTAATGAAAATGACAGTATATTAGGACAGATCTTGAGAATTGAAGTAACAGAAACATAATGTACTTACGTGTTTTGCTACTGCTGTGTCAAACTACATTTCATAATAACTAGAACAGCCGGTACATGCTGGTCCCATAATCAGTCATACAGTATAAAGACAGAACCAAAAACTGACTCCTATCATTTCTCCTTTACGCATTACTGCAATCAGTTCATAGCCAACATTAATGAAACTCAACATTTCCTTCAGGCCTTAGAAGAAACATAGTGTTTGTCCCACCCGACAGGTCAAACTGGACTTTTACTTTAGGTAACGCCATGTTACTCTATAACACCTATAACAATTTAGGTAACCCCATACACTCTAAGTCTGGGGTGCCCAATAGGTCAATAGAGCGACCCTTGGGGGGGGGGCGATAGATCGCTATGACTTGGTTGAACAGTAGCTTGCAAGCTGAAAAAGGATGGGCACCCCTGCTACCAACCCAGTCTCACAGCAAAACGTGTAATAGCTACGTTGTGGACCAACGTGATATTGTGACAATATCACGTTTGATTTGCAACTAGGTCACGTGACTATCAACTTTCCCTCAGCTCAAAAAAAAGGAAAATGGCGGACTGTCGGTCTATTATCTGTGAAAAAGACAAGAAAGCATCAGCATTTGTATGCATTTCGATGTCATTTCTAGCGAGAAGTATGCGTTATATTTTCCTAATCTTCTATCAGAGAATGTAGAAGACCTTCTGTTTATTAGATTCTGGTGACGTAGTTGCAAGGCAATGTAAATGAATGGGCCAAAATAAAACGTAGTATTGTCACGATTTTGGGGAGAAAGCGTGAGAATACCACTATTACACGTTTTGCTGTGAGACTGGGTTGCTGCTACAGGTACACCTATAACGCTGTAGGTAACCCCATGAAACTCTACATACGCCTATAAGAATGTGGGTAACCATACGACGTTCTAGGTAACCCTATAATTCTACCCATACCCTATGACGTTTAAGGTACTCCTATAACGCTTTAGTTAACCCCATGACACTCGAAGTACCCCAATCACCTATGACCCCAATCACATACAGTATAACGCTCTAGGTAACCTCACAAGCTTATGAATAAAGTTATGGACTGATGAAATAATGGCTGGGAAAATGGAAACATTTCACGGCAATAGGTAAACAAAAATAACCACATGATGGCTGCTCACATTTGTTGCTGACCGGTGCCAAATGTGCCACACCGTCATCACTGCTGAGACTGTAAAGGAGAGCTGGAATGCTTTAGTCTCCCGGCTATTCTGAACTAGCCGATATGTATAAATTAGAAACAGCAAAGAAACAAAGAACTCATTTTTCACACACACACACAGACATCCTGACTCACCTCCAAACCGGCATCTGTGATGGTAGACCTCTTGAGACTGACTGAACGAACACCTTTCTTGGACAGCGGGTAGTTGTCAATGAACTCACAAATGTCCAGGTCCGACACACCCACTAGGCAGAAGGACTGGAATCCACGCAAAGCAAAGGCCTGCAGACTGACAAACTCCTTCTCCCCATTGGGCAGAAGGGTATATAGCTCCTTGGCGTGCAAGATAGGTGTCACGCCCTCCCAGAACTTGGGCTGGTACAGCACTTTGCGCCATGTCTTGCATACCTGCGCCAGCACACATTTTTCAGCTGTAGTGAAGTACCATAGCAACCGGTTGAGCAGCTTCTCATCTAGGACAAGCTGACGTTCCAGCAGGATGGGCTTGGGGAGACAGAGAGGGGGAAGCTGACGAAGGGACGCTTTCAAGCCCACAAGAGGATTTCCAGGCTCCATGTCAGAGGCCAAGAGAGAGGCTGCGGAGTTGGGCATGCCAGGGCCTTCCAGGTGATGGTGGTGGTGATAGGGAAGGGTGGTCGGTGGAGGAGGCAGGATGGAGGGTACCGAGGAGGACTGGCACAGACGGTTCTTGGCAGCAGGTGTCCCCTTTGTGATACTTGCGCTGCCTAGACCGTTAGGCTGGCTGGGGGGCAACTTCACCATACCGTTGCGAGTCACGCAGGGAGACTTCAGCTCGCTGGGAGTTGTCATGTTCAACATTGGGAACCTGGAAAGAAAAAAGTGTGCTGTAAAATACTGAAAACCTGAGTGTGACTTAAAACATGCAGGAGTGTGAAAACATTATAGTGGTTTGGAACTGTGATAGGAGTAACATTTAGCTTTCTATTAATGGAGTAGTGAACCAAACAAGTGTATAATGTTTCAAGAAATCACTTCAACTGAAAGATCAGCCTTGTGTGCCAAAAGAAATCTGTTCATAATAACATCGTTAGCCACAAGCCAAATACTAAACGCAAACCAGGCCAGGAGCACACAGACTAAGGACGACAGAGTAGCAAAGAGCAGCTACTCTGAAAAGCTGCAAAACAAGTTTACAGCCAAAAAGCCTGTGTCGATGTGAAGAGGTCTGCAGGACTTCACCAGCTAGAGGAGCAGCTGCACACCTGTCCATCACCCAACGAACATTATTGGTGGCTTCCTCAACCCAGGATTGGTACACCTGGACACGTCACTGCAGACTTCACACCCTGAACATCCCCCAGTTCAGCTTCTCCCCTTTGAGGGTGCCCCAGAACACCATAACACCGACATGTTTGTTTCGACAGTTTCCCTCTGCGGGCCGTCACTCCGACCAAATGAAAACATGTGTAAGTACATTCTGTGTGTCATCATTGAGTCCTCAGATACTCGTTCACTATTTATTTCTTTGCACTTCTGTTTGTTTACAACTTACAAAACAGTTGACATGTATATAGATGTTTATTCATTATTTGATATGCATAAAATAAAATAAACTAAATAACACATGAAGGTGCAAACGAATGCTGTTGGCATGGCCTCACGAGTGTGTCTGCTCTGTGTGATCTCACCTCACCGGCTCAGAGCGCTACGTTATGTAACTCTCTGACTCCAGGGCTTCACACACAACAGCATCTCTCCGGCCCACTCTAGTGATCATAGAAGCTGCACAGTACACAACTGCTACATCCACTTACACATGCAGGTACATACTGTCTACATGGTAACAATAGCACTTTTCATGGGGATTTTACATTTGATCACATCTCATTACTTGTTGTTTATCTCTTGGCAGATGGAGGCTCTGCCTTTGCTGTAGCATCAGCAAGGTTCATCCATTACATAATACGATGCTGAGGCCAACTGTACTGGCCACAGCGAGAGCTGCCAACGGTTACTAAAGAGCACATATGCTCCAGAGCAACGTCAGGCTGACCATCAAGAAGCAGATGAATATTCACTCAGATGTAATGCACAGCTATAGCAAAATCAATGATTACCGTTCCTGAGTCTGTCTGTGTGTCCACAGTGTGTCTGTGGTGTCTCCATCGGGCAGCAGGTGGAGGGATGCTGCCTGTGATCCAACAGCAGTGACAATAAGCAGGCCGGCGCCCCTCACAAGGAACCCCCACCTCCACTGATAGAAACTATCTGCTGGTTGGATGTTTCTACCAACATCACCTGCATGCAGGTCCTCTCACACTTAAGCTTAGTAAAGTAGTCTTTGGAGGTCCAGGGGGAAAGACCCCTCACCCATCGCGATCAGCTTAGGCCAGCGGTTCCCTTACTGTTTAGGCCACGCACCCCCTTCTACTCCCCAACTGTCTCTCTCTCTCTCTAGACTGAGTATTAACGCTCCGTTCCGTCCTCCGTCTCTCTCTGTCCCTGTCCTCTCTCGCGACTGGTAGCTTCAGACGTCCACCTGGCCTGTTGGCTGACGTTAGCTGCTCAAGCTAGGCTCACATTAGCTAGTGTGTACGTAAAAGGAGGCGCTGAAGTGTATTTATAGTTTTAAATTAAAATGTTGAAAAGGGTAGTTTTATAATTCAAGTCTGTATTTAGTGTAAAAACCCTATTTATTTTTTACAAATTACTCCTTTAGACCACCATTGCATCTGTCCTCTCGCGCACCCCACTTTGAGAATCCCTGGTTTAGGCAATTTGATTAAATAAAAATGTTCAACATGTTCGTTACAGTGGACTCAAACTTTTCAGGGCTTCTCCACCGCTTTAAGCCGCCTTCCTGAATACGCTCAGTCTGCTCTGAATGGCCTGAGAGAAAATGACAAGGTTAGAGGAGAAGCTGTGGTCAGTTTATTCTAACGAGGAAGGATATTCCAATCTGATTGGCTTGTTGAAATCTATTTCACTTGCAAACCAGCACTGAAAGCATTTGTTTTTCAAATGTTCCTTTCATTGACTGAACATTACTCTCTATACCAGGGGTCTTCAACTAAAATGTGAAGAGTCCAGTTAGAGAAAAAAAAAGCAAAGGTCCGGAAGACCATAATGTGACTAATTAGTGTGATGAAATTAAGGAATAGAGTTACATTACATCACAGTTCATTTAGCTGACGCTTTTATCCAAAGCGACTTACAATAAGGATACAAACTCAGAAGAGCAAGAAACAAGAATTGCAATTTCATCAAATAAGCCAATTTACAACTTGCTATAGATAAGAACCATTATAAGTCCAATGTAAGTGCTACAGTTAGTTAGTGTGTTAGTGGAGGTAGAGTCTGAAGAGGTGAAGGCTCTCTGTGGTCCTGGTGTCTTCAGAGCTCTATCAACATCTGCATTTAATCAATACACGACTAACAAATCAATCAGTTCAAACTAAGATGGCCGCCGATGACAGAGCAGCACGGCATGTTATCAAACAAAGGATTAAACCTGAGATTTATACCACTATTGATGGCAAAACTTTAGTGGAAGATGAATTGCTAAGCTTCCTTTCTGTCAAACTGAAGACGGTGCCTCAGGATGACATTACATTGATGGCTGTAAATCCCTTTGGATCTGAGTGGATTAAAAACTCCAAAAAGGTCCTGTTTGATCTGTGTCCTGGCACAGGGCAACGTTGTATAGCTCACAAAGGACAACTGAAAGATGTCAACAACGTCAAGAGTTGTCTAAACCTACTGAATGAGGTCGGTGAGAATGCTCCTCGCTTTGTGTCCTATTACCTGGATGACTTACCATCAGTGACTTTTAATAGCCTCGATGTCTCTTGTCTGGTTAGTAAGATTGATCGCATAAGTGTGGAGTCGGCCTCCATGAAAAATACTGAGAGTAAGCAGTCGACTGAATGTGAGAACCTTCGTGGTATAACTACAGACATTAGCAAACGACTGAATGTGATTGAGCTACCCAGTTCCAGCAAGGGGAATGCAGCCACAACTATGGCCAGTGAGGAGGCCCAGTTCCATGGACCAAGTCACAAGGAACCGGCACCCGGACCCTCGGCGTTGCCAATCTCTGAGGACACAGCTGGCGGGGAGATTGAGGTTGCAATGTCCCCGGCATGGAGTCGTGTATTAAAGTATGGCAAGCGCAAGCAACGGACTGGAAAAGGATCTGCTGCTGCAGTACAGAACAGGACTATGAATCCCCCCAGAGCAAAACAGACTGAATGCAGATATATCAGATACAACCTCACGTTTTGGTCAACACTTGACACAATTCTGTATAGATCACAAGGTTATTTTGTCCACTAAGGAATTACTGCCGGCTGATAGCTTACATATGTGAGTGAAGCTTGGCATACTACATCTTGGTTGGACCATTGTTTATCTACAGCTGATGCACATGGTTGTATAAAGGAGGTTGAGATCCTATATGGTCTGGCCATAGCAGACCATATTCCTGTCTCTATGTTCATAAACATTAAGGGTCTACCTGAGCTTGTTTGTAGTGACAGCCACAAGGTGAGATGCTGGACTGGACTAAGCTCTCAGAAGATAATCTGCAATATTACAAGTTACTGACTGGTGTGCACTTGAGAAACATTGAGTTGCCTGTTGATGCAATTATGTGTGTGGATAGCAGCTGTAAGAGTGTAAGCCACAATAATGAACTATTTGCAATGTATGACAGAATTGTGACCTGTTTAGTTGATGGGAGTGAACCACAAAGAAGTGGGATGGCTAAACAATATATTGTAAGACCAGGCTGGAATGACTATGTCCATGATGTTCTTATGGAGGCAAGAGATGCATTTATAAGATGGGTGTTAGCAGGCAAACCCAGGCATGGCCCAGCCTGTGAGCATAAGGCACGGGCTAATAGGTTCCAATATGCTGTGCCTCTTATAAAAAGAAACGAGCAGACTATGAGGGCGAATTCTATGGCGAGAAAGCTACAAACTAATAATGTGTATGAGTTCTGGAATGGTTAATAATAGCAGAATGCCACTGCCTTCTAGTATTGATGACATTACTCAACCTGAAGACATTGCAGAACTTTGGAGGAGACACTACGAGAACATTTTTAAATGTGTGAAGAGTGAAGTGTTCAGCATGGGAGAGATACCTTACAGTGAATGTGTAGTTATCAAGCCGGAGGAAGTATGCTATGCTATTGACAAACTTAAAATGAATAAAGCCTGTGGGAGGGATAGAATAACAGCAGAACATCTGCTGGTCAAAGTACAGTGATCCCTCGCCACTTCGCGGTTCACTTATCGCGGATTCGCTATTTCGCGGATTTTCATATTGCATTTTTTTTTTTTTGGTGCATTGTGCTCTGCATTCTGATTCGCTAAAAACTCACTCCCGAGCCGTTCATTACAGTTCTCCAACGTAATCGATGGTGGCATGTCGGTGTACAAGGATCTTTTTGCAAAGAAGAAAAAAGAGCGACAACAGCTGCCTATCACTATGTTCTTCTCCCGAACAAACACACCTGCACCGCGGGCTTCAGAAGAAGAGAACACTGCAGAGCGCAGTCAGGATGCAGCGGCCCAGTCTGAAGAGCAGTGAAACGGCCTACACGCGAGTCACTGTATTTGTATACATGTAATAGTTGCTAATTGTAAAAAAAAAAAAAGTTTTCTATTTCGCGGATTTCACTTATCGCGGGTCATTTTCGGAACGTAACCCCCGCGATAAACGAGGGATTACTGTATCTCAGTTTTACTTGCTTTGTGCTTTTCTGGGTTGATGAAACATGGCATACTTCCTGGGTCCATGTTGTCTGTTTTGCTGGTGCCTGTAGTTAAAAATAAGACTGGTAAATGAACTAGTATA